GGGCAGACATATCAGGACAGAGGTTGTCGTCAGGTGTTATTTGCAATATTGCACCTGGGTCACATCATACTCGAGAAGAGCTTACAGTTTTGGGAATGGTTGGTGAAAAGTTTGGATTGCAGCATTTAGATTTGCTACCAGCTGGTGTCTCTCTTCCACTGAGGCATGTAAGTTGATGCGTCATAGAATGTCATTTCTGTAAAATAAAATTCTGCAGAAATCTTTGATGTCTAACATAACTTCGTTTCATTCATGTTATACTATAAAGTATGAAGTTCCTTTGTACTTTTTGTCTTAATTTGTCAATGCTCACCTGTTTTTATTGCAAGATCCAGTACATGCAAATTCTTTTTAAGATTGGTTGGTGGTGAAATTTGAACGCCCACGTGGACCTACTTGAATGTGATCTCACCTAGGACCTTAGCTTTTGGAAGGATTTGTGATTATTTATATCTATTTTATAGTTGGTATGCAATACTGTAATAATTTTATATTTATCATCTGTGGCTCAGGCAATAGATAAGTGTCGAGAATCTCCTCCTTCAAATTGGCCTCCAGCTGCATATGTGCTACTTGGTCGTGAAGATCTAGCATTGCTGCATTTGGGAAATCCAATGAAATGTGCCAAACTTGATTTTGCGAAGTCAAATTTGGTTTCAGTGTCTACACCTTACATGTTACCCTTGCATCCTGTGACCATTCCTTCCTCAGTCTCTGATACTCTTGAAATGGATGTTACCAAGCTAGAGGATGTGGACTTCTTTGATGGATCTGCAGCAGATGGAATGGAACATATTTTTAACTCTAGCACACAATTACGTTATGGTCGTGATCTGCGGCTGAATGAGGTGATTTTTAACCAAACTTGCCTAGATTTGGGTCTGCTCAATGAAGTGATTTCTATAGTGTGCTACTTTTAACTGCTGGCATTCCTAATAACTTAATGATCATTAATATATTTGTGTTCTCTTACCATGCGTACTTCTTTTGATTTATGCTTTCTAATTTACGTAGAAGGTAGTTGAGATATTGCACTCCTATATTCATGTTAACCTTTCTTTTCCATGTGCTTATATATTACTGTAACTTCTCCTTCCATTATTTTACATCCTTGCACACATTTTATGCTGGATCATGCAATAGTCACTTAGAGGTGCATCTACAACACTACTCGCTGAGATTAGATGATCGCTGCATTTAATATGTGCCTGTGGCTCTGTGCAAGGGTTAAATAGAAAGAATCAGCACTTTTGAATTGTGCATTTTTGCTGCACTTGGCTGAGGTTTG